TTTTTCTTTAATAAACACATATATTTTATCTTATATCTTATCTTATTTTCTTCTTGCTCTATTGAGAGAGTATTTTGATTAAAAGTAAGACTTGCATATATTATCTTATTAAGAAGATAATTATATTTTGTTATAAATAAAACATATATAAATTATCTTATTAAGAAGATAATTATATTTTGTCAGAAGTAATTCTCACATATATCATCTTATTAAAAGGATAATTAGTCATATAATCTCTTGAAACTATAAAAAGTAGATAACTGCTATAAATACAGTTACTATTACCATTTTAAAATAATTACATATATATAATCTTAAAATAGTAACAATATAAACTTTTTTAATTTTTTCTTTTTCTAAATATATAATAATTCTTTAATTTATAATATTAATAAAGTATCCTTTATATTAAATTAAAATTAAGTTTTTAATTATCAATCTAATTAAAAGTATAATAAAAAAATAATGTATTATATTAAAAATATAATAAATATTAAAACTAAAAAATGTAGTTGAAGTATACATAAAAAATTAGCTATACTTGCTTATCTTAAAAATAAATCTGATATTAGTAAATGTAATATAGCAGAAAAATTTGATATTTAGCCTAAATAAATTCAAGATTGAATATATAAATATAAAGAATTAAAGTATTTAAGATCTTAAATAAAATAACTTACTTCTAATATGAGACTCTGATATTTAGTATTAGAAAATAATCTTGTTATTTAAGTAAGATTCTTATATTAAAAATAAAAAATTATATCATATTTTATAATTTATTCTAAGACAAAATTTTTGATAAAAAGATTATGCTTTCTTGTAATTTATCCAAATATTAATAATTATAAATAGAGTGATAAGTAGTTAAATAAATTTATGAATCACTATTATTTTTAGTATTTGATATTATACTATAGTTTTACAAAAATTATCAAGTAAATTAGAGTTAATATAATATCAATTTTAAGTTTTATATTATGTTAATATATTTAATATAATTATTTCTTAATATTAATTAGAAATATAAATGAAATATCACTTATCTTTAATATTTCTAATAATATAATTATTGAAAAAACTGGAGTAAGTATTATCAATATTTGAATAACAGAATATGAAAAATCTAATTTCATTATTATATTAATATATATAATTGATAATAAAAAGTTATCTTTGATATTAATTTTTAAATTGATTAATATTTTATATCAAAAGTTTCTAACTAGAGTAATAATTTATACTAATTAAGAAGAATATATAAATAGTGATAAAATAATTTGATAGATCAAAAATATATAGAGTTAATATATATTATTATTAAATAATTTATATTTCTTATTAATCTTGAATTCTTTTTGTGATCATTTAACTGATTCTATCAAAAATTAACTCAATAAAAAATATAAATATAATTATAATTTCAGATGTATTAACTAGTAAACTTTAACTATTAGATATACAGTGATAATTAAAAATAATGCAACGCTTAAATTTTTTACTAATTATAATTAGTAAAAAATTTAAGCGTTGCATTATTTTTGATTATCACTGTATATATAAATAAATCATTTAAATTAAAGATAAAATTAAATATTTTTATATTATTTATTTAATATATTAACTTATATATTTATTTATTATAGTATTACTAATTATATAATAATTGAATAACAGAAAAAATAAAAAAATTGATATCTTTTAATTATATATAATATTTAAGTTATAATATTATTATTGAATAGATAAAAATTATATAAAATTAAGTTAATACTTATTTTATTAAGTACTTATTTAAATATTATAATATTTCTAATATTTGTGATAGAATTAAAAATAATTATATTTTTGATTATAATTAAATTGAATAATCTCAAAGATTTAATTAAAATTCTATAATTGAAAATAAAAATGATAATTTAAAAAATAATTTGAAAAATAAAAATATTAATTTAGATATTGATTTAACTCAAGATAATCTAAATAATTTTATTAAAATAATTGAAAATAATAATACAATATTATAAAGTTATTTAATTAATAATTTTAAAGATAAGTATTATAATATTAAAATAGTAGATTTTATAAATATGTAGAATTAGACTTGAATATATTATTAAGATATAAAATAGTATATCTAAATATATTATTAGGGGAATATAAAGTTAAAATTTATAATGTATTCAGATATAATATATTTTACTAATATTAATATTTATAAATTAGATTTAATATAATTTATAAGGAATATAATATTATAGGAGATTATTTTAAATGGCAAATTATGATATTTATATATTTAATTAACTAAATTTAATATATTATTATACAGAAATTATTATATATATTCTTATTATTAATTTAGATTATTAATATTTATATTATATAAGTATTATAATTTTTAATATATTTTTAAATTAATATAAGTTATAATAATAATCTTATATTATTATTAAATATTTAGATTATAAAAATAATTTATTAATTTATTTTTTTCTTAAAAAAATTAGCTATAAACTTTTATACTTAAGAATAAATCAAAATAATTTTAATATATTTTATTATTAAATATCTTAAGTAAAAAATTTTTATATTTTTGATTAATTAAAATATAAATTATATAATTATATATAAGAATTTCTCAAAAATTTAAATTTATTTGAAAAATATTAAAAATTAAATTTGTTTAAAAGATATATAAAAATTTAAATTTATTTAGAATAATTTAAATTTAAATTTTTATAAATTTTTATTACTAGACTAATTATATTTTTTTTATATAATTATTTTATTAAAAATATATTTTTATATATATAATTAATTATTTATTTAATTAAATATATATATTTAAAGAAAAAATTCAAATAAAAAATACTTTTAAAAATTATAAAATTAATAAAATTTCAAATAATTTTATATTTATTTTAAAAATTAATTTTATATAGTTTAAAAAAATATTATAAAAATAATAAATAAAAAATATTTTAATTTAACTAATTTTTTAATATATTCTTGCTTAAATTATATTTTTTTTATCAGATTTTCTTCTTTTTTAATTAGAAATAATATAAAAATCAGAAAATTTTTTGATTACTTATAATAATAAATAACTTTTACTTTATATCTTCTAACTTTTATCTTGTAATATTTAATAAACTTAATTTAAATATCAATTATAAAATATTTTTAATATAAGTAATTATAATTATATTATATATATTATAAAAAAAGAAAAATAATCAAGATTTTACTATATAATATTACTTTATAATCTGATTTAATTTTCTTCAAAAAAATAATAAATAAAAAATATTAATTTCTTCATTTTTTTTATCTGATTTTTTATAATAAAATAATAATTAGCTAAGATTATAAAATAATACTAATAATAAATTCCAAATAAATTAATAAATTAATAATTACAAATTTTTATTCAATATATCTATTTTTATTTGTAATAAATATTTTTTTAAGCTTAAAATAAAGCAATAAAGCTAAAATTTTCTATTTTAAATAAAATTGATTAATTTTTATTAATTAATATTTAGTAAAATTAACTTTATATATAATTATAATAGGTATTAAAAATATCAAAATATCTATATAACTTTTTATATTAAAAATTTTTTATTTTAAACTTTTTTTAAAATAATTAAAAATATTATATTAAAGTTTAAGTATTTTTATATTACAAAAACAATCCCATTATAAAAAACTTTATCTAATTAAAGCACTAATTACTATCAAAGATGACTCCAAGATCAGTTATAGTAGATATAATAAATCTATTAATAAAACCTCAAATAAATCAAATTTTTACTAATCACTTTAATAATATAATGGAATTGTCTTTGTAATAACAAAAAATTTGACATAATTTAATAAGACCGTTTCATTTAAATTTTGTTATAAAATTTATATATGGGATGAAAAATGTGTTCTACTGGCAAAAAAATAAAAATTTAAAGTTGTCATGAGTAACAATTGTGCAGAACTCGAATAAACTGTGCAGACTAAACCAAGAATTCATTTTTCTGGTATATTACGTTGTCGAACCGAAAATTTTTATTCCACTTAGATTTTTAAGATGTCTTACACACGCAGTAAGTGAGAAATCTTGAATTATTACGCGTTAATTTCTACAAGTGTATTAAATTTCATGCTATTAACTTTTATAGAGGGCATTTTTGCATGCACACCTGCCACCGCTAGAGGCCAGTCTGTTCAACTGGGGCTGGACCCGAAAGGCGAGAACTTTCTTTACACAAATGGGAAAACTGTGATTATTCGAAGTATATCTGTACGTTGTACTGTCTGTGATATTTTACCAGAGCCTTGTTTTGATTATCCAAACTAATTATTAATGAATAATGATCATACCTAGAATCCGGCAGTTGCAACGGAATACTCTGGACATGTTGCACAAACAACTGTTGCACGTTATGCCCCGAGCGGATATTACATCGCGTCTGGGGGTATTAATTTTATTGATTTTTGAATTCACAGTTTTTTCGAAAGATTCACTTATTTTTTTCGTGTGTATATGTGTCTTTGAAGATATTCATGGTAACGTACGTGTTTGGGATACTACGCAAGCCGAGCAAATTCTCAAAAATGAGGTAAAAGTGATTGCGGGTAGAATCAACGACATCGCGTGGGATTCTGAGAGTAAAAGAATAATTGCGGTTGGTAGCGGGAAGGATAGGTATAAAGAACACTACCTTAGATTTAATTTCCATGAAAAATTCCGACGATAATTTTAAAAAAAATGCTATTTTTTTCTCGATATTTTATAAAAGATATGGCCACGCATTTTCCTTCGACACAGGCTCATCAGTCGGTGAAATCAGCGGTCACTCCAAAGTCATCAACAGTGTTGACATTCGTCAGCACCGTCCATTTCGTGCGGCTACTGCTTCTGATGATTTCACCGTCGTGTTTTACCATGGAGCACCATACAAATTTGCAAAGTCATTGAAAGATCACACTGGATTTGTGCAAGGCGTGAAGTTTTCCCCCGATGGTGAAAAATTAGTGAGCGTCGGTTCGGACAAAAAGGTAAAAATTTATTCTTATAATACAGCGATAGAGACTCTCGTTATTGCGCATATACTTTTCTATTCTTGCTCGCTCTCAACAATAAACCAGTTATCTTTTTTTTTTTTTTAGGTTTTTCTGTACGAAGGAAAGACCGGCGAAAAATTAGCGAACCTATCTGAACTGGTTGGTGATGATTCGCACAAGGGTGGTATATATGCTGTTTCCTGGTCACCGGATAGCAAAAAATTTCTTACATCGTCCGCAGATAAAAGTGCCAAGATTTGGGACGTAGAAACTCAAAAAATCGTACGGTAATTAAATTGTCTAATATTCCTTGTAAATTTTAATCAACGACATATAAATAACATAAATACATCCATAATTTTTAAAGCACCTTTGAGTTTCCTGATTCTATTGAAAATCAACAGGTTGGTAATATATGGCTAGGCGAATACCTAGTCAGCTTGTCTCTTTCAGGAGATTTAAATTATTTGGATGAGAAATCCTCGTCCCCGGTAAAAGTCATAAGGGTGCGTATTATTGGTATATCCTTTTTCGTTTTTATATAGATTTTTTATTAATTCTTTATTATTCTTAATAATCAAGGGTCATCAAAAAGCTATTACAGCATTGACCCGCATAGCAGATAAAACTTTGTACACGGGAAGTTACGATGGTCGAATTTATATCCTCTATATATATATATATATATATATTTTCAATTGCGCTTCATTTGTTTGCTGTTTTTAAGCCAAAAGCATACATTCTTGACAACAAATATTCAATGATAAGAACATGCATGGACAGAAGATGAAGCTAATGCAATCACGATTACTGGCCAAGGACATACAAATCAAGTGATACAATTTGCATCTAATGGAAATAATGTTTATTCGGTTGGAATGGATGATACTATAAGGAAAGTCGAAGTTGAATCTAAAGTTTATAGGTACTTATAGTGAATATATCATTATAATTATAAATTGACTCTAGAGATTAAAATAATTTCTTTTTGGTGACGAATTAAAAATTTTAAGCACAACAGTTGTCCCTACCGGATCACTTCCAAAAGGCATCGCAGTATCAAAAGAAGATTTCATATTTGTTGCGACGGTAAAGGATTTACAAGTATTCAAAGACGGAAAACAGATCACTAGTCTGGCCTTGTCGTTTACTTCGGGTGCTATTGCTGTAAACCAAGATGGCACGGAAGTTGCTGTTGGAGGAGAAGTAATACAATTTTTTGTTCTAATTTTTAAAGCCCTATGAAATCCTCGCCACCTTTTCATTTGAGTTTTATTTATTGGATTAGGATATCAAAGTTCATCTATACCAATTCGGCGAAGAGAAACTAGTAGAGCAGAAACAATTATCATCTAACCGTAGCGCGATTACAGCTCTTGCTTATTCACCTGATGGGACATTACTTGCTTCGGGTGACTCGAGTGGCAAAATTTACGTGTACAATACCAAAACTGGAGAAGTAATGCTCGATATTCTTATTTATACGCTATTATCAAATTTATAATTTCTAAATGTTTATAATAATTTAGGTTAAAATATCAAACTGGGGTAGTCATACTGCACGAATTTATTCAATTGCGTGGTCCCCTGACGGTCTTCACGTCGTCAGCGGGTCGCTAGACACAAATATTTATGTATGGAGTGTGGAAAAACCCACCAAAAACATTGCTATTAAAGGTACATACGATTCTATCAAGTGTCGGATTGTTTATTATTTAATCTTGAGTAAAATTTTTTTCCTACAAATGAAAAAGGGGCACACCAAGTTGCTGTAACGAGCGTAATCTTCTTGGACGATGTCACAATTTCGTCGGTTGGTCAGGATGCATCTCTGAAATTTTGGACAATTACTCATCACTAACTTAATTGTTAGTGGATTGAATACAAAAAGAATAGAAATAAATATTTATTTATTATGTGAAGTTGATATGAGAGACCAATAAAACGTTTTTTGGATTTTGAGAATATGAAGTTATTAGCATACCGTATAAAAAAATTGATTCTTCATTATATTGTTATGATAATGCTGGTAATATGATGTGTTTCTGCAGTAGGTTATCCTTATTTATCTTTTTAATTCGTAATTATACTTCCAATCAATCAATAATCTCTTTGTGTATTTCCAGATTTCTAATACACGAGAACGGTCTATTATGCGAACAGCGAACGGGGATGCTCTACTAAATAATGCTAATCCTATCAGCAATAATATTCCATTTATGATTGCATGTTTTGTAATTATCTAATTATCAAAAATAATTAAATCATTAACAAAATTAAGTTTGTTAAGATAGGATATAATTGAAATATTTACTTTTATCCACCAAGTCCACGTCTTCTTTGCAACCTGTTTCTTTATCTGATCTTCAACCAAATCTTGTCGCAACGCTTCAGTCCGCTCGTTTGACGCCGAGACCTCAGCTTGCAGCCGTTCAAGCGCTTTTTCAATCTCCGCGATTCGCCTATTTATTGCACTCGCGTTCAAACGTCCCACATTTTTTTCGAGTTCAACAATGCGCGTGATAATCTTATTATTATTATCATTATTATTATTATTATTATTATCACTACCGGACTCATCATGGAACGTAGATTTTGACGGAGTCGGAAGCAACGAAGAATCATTACGAGCTTCTTCGAATTCATCGTCGTCGTTATCTGATGAATAAATTAATGATGGTGACAGATTAATATTTTGTGACTGGAGAAGTGACGAGTTTGTTGATTGTTGTTGCTTGTCAATTGGAACATGTAAAAGTGATTCAGCGGAATCATTTGAGGGAGGCGCGGTCGTAGAAGAATATTCTTCATCAGATCCAACGTCATTATTATTGTATTCTGTGATTCCTTTGATTATTAGGGTTTTTACGCATTTGATAATCGCCGAAAAAGAATAAATACTGTTTACTTACTTGAAAGTCTTGTAATTAATTCGTTTGCTTCTTTAATTTTATCTTTATGTAATTGGAGCCACTAAAAGAAAATAAATACGAGTGTCATGAATATTCATGAGTTGTATGAATAATTACGATTGAACTGTAAATATCCTTACTTTAATACTTTTATCCACATATTGGGCTTTAGCTTCGTCAATAGTCATTCCTTTCAAATTTTCCCAGGCTTCCCTTTTTTTCATATGAATAATTAATTTATTATAAAGTAGCAATGACAGTACAATTTTGTATATACATGAAGTAAACTTACAAATCTCTTTTAGGAGTTTTGTCGAGCGGCAGCCTTATAACGTCCCCAATGGTTGCTTGTTTGAACAAGGCATGTAACTATGGGGAGCAAACAAGAAATTAATTCGTTACTTATTTATTAAGGGTTGTAAGGTAAAATAGCTCTAATGTCATACGTGTGCTGCATCTTCACCGGTAGGTTTCAATGCATGTTCCGCTGGTAATTCCTCAAGGTATGAAGACACTTGCTGAAATTGTTTCGAGATAACCTGCTCGCGTCGATATTGATTCATAATACTATAAAGTGGAAATTAGAAACTAAACACACATCAAACGAGTCTAATCATTTCCTTAATAGTATATTTGTTATATTTTTTCAGCTTTTGTAAACAACCTACGTAAAAAGTGTGCACCGTTTTTTGACACAATAAAAATGACCGAAACAGCAAACGCTAAGACAACAGAAGTGATTGAACCTAAAAAAGAAGCAACAATAAACAACAAGGATATAATGATACCCGATACAGAGTTCCTATCGGTGAAATTAGAGAACTTGAACAACGTTGACGCAAAGAAACGAGTGCACGAGCATGACGAGGGAGAGACTCGTTCTTCCGACGATAATACTAAACGAGCAAAACTTGAGAGTGGCGGAAACTCGAATTCCAATTTGCCAAATGCTGCAAGTTTTACAACGCCTTCGATCGTTACTACACCTTCGATCGTTGCAACCACCCCCACAGTTTTGCCTCCGCCGCCACAAACAATAACACCCGCTTATCCACATTCTATATTGCCGACATTTACACCTCCACCGCCTCCTCCTACGACGCATTTTGGCAAGTCTTGGTTGGATAAAATGCCTGCATTGCATTTAGATGATAATCAAAAGGCGGCGCTAGAAAAGGCAAAAAACTTTGCTCGAGACATGCAGGCGGTGGTATGGAGAAGAAAAAATAAATATTTATATTGCAGATCGTACTTTATGATTAATTTATAAATTCACTATTAGTTATTAAAATCTGCCGGAAAAAACAGCACACCACCTCCAATACCTTCAATTCTTCTATCATCGAATCCCGGGTTAGCGTCTGGAATTGATCCTCGCTCATTATCTGTTCTATCGCGAATTTATGTCGGTTCAATTAATTTTGAGTTGACTGAGCAACATTTACGTGTGGTGTTTGGTCAATTTGGCGCGATAAAAAGTGTGAGCATGTCGTTGGATCCGATTACTGGAAAGCACAAAGGATTCTGCTTTATTGAATTTGAGACACCCGAGGGCGCGTCGCTTGCTCTTGATTCGATGAATGGCGCAGAATTGGGAGGACGGTAATAATAATTTTTATGAGCGAGAGTTCTTATCATCATCTTTATATTAATTAATTAATGAATTCATGAATAAATTTTCAGACAATTAAAAGTTGGACGACCAAATAACTATACGGCTGCGACCGCTGCTGGTTAGTGTACTTCTTTATACTATTATTCATAATACACTTTATATATTCGCATCTTCTTGTTGTTCTTTTTCTGGTAAGAGCTTGTGTTACTACTGAATGAACCAATAAACAGGACTTCTACCTCCCCCCAAAACCCGAATATATGTTTCAAACGTCAATGAATATGTCAGCGAGGAAAATCTCCTGAGCATATTTGAGTCGTTTGGTAAAATAACTCATTGCGTTCTAATGGTAATAATCATTTTTTATTCTATTTTCTATATTTTCTTTTTTTTTCTATTTTCTATTTTTTTCCCTTATTATCTAATAATCATACATACAAAATATGTGTGTGTGCGCGTGTCTAGCCTGATCTTATAACGAGAAAACATAAAGGATATGGGTAAGTAGTAATAATTGTTTCCTTTATCATATAAATTTATATTGATGTGGTGTGGGATATGGTAAGGGTGGATGATATTATTGCTGCTGTCATTCAAGGGTGACGTGCTTCCTTCCTTCCTTCCGTGTTGTTGGTGTGTTGGTGCTAGTAGATTTTTTCATCTGCAGTATGATGAAAGAGAACTTTTAATTTTCACGTGGAGAGAAACTTTTTGCACGAGCATCCTGTTTCCATCCCGATCCTATCCTTCACTTAATTATCATCTTTCCTTAACTTTTATTTTCCCTTGTTCCCTTCATTCTACTCTTCACTTTCTTCAATACAACACCCATTTAGAACAGACAATTCCTACTCAAACAAAATCCTCTAATACCATTTATAACTGGTCATATATTAATGATTAGCTAATTTACGATGTTGCTACTACTGCTTGATAATTTACGGTTATGGGACAATGCGGACTCACTCCATTATTCATATATATATCTATATCTATGCACTCTATGCACTCTAAAACCATATTCTCTATGGTTATTATTATGCATTATTATATCTTTTTCCCGTGACATTTTATTTCTCCCATCCCCCACCCCCATATCTATATATTCCCTATCACAAACAATATATATAAATTAATCAACCTGCGGACACATTAATGGACTCCTGAACAACAGTAACAACATCAACAAGCCTCATAATTTCCCAATACTTTAATCCATTACCGCGAGGACGGCCCTGAGTGGCAGTGTTAGGGTATGATGATGGTGCAATCTACGGCTACACAGCATCTTCTGCTTCTGCTACTACCACTGCTGCTAGCTGCCATTTCCATAAGATTACCACTATTGATAAATAAAAGGAAGGAACTTTTTAATATTGACGGAAGCTAACCCTTCTTATACATCATACCCGAATTTTCTTTGTCTAGATTTATCGAGTTTGAAGAAGAAATGGCCGCAAGCACCGCAGTAATCTCAATGAACAATTTCGAGCTGGGCGGATTGATATTACATGTCGGTAAAGCTGTGATAGGGGGTCCACTTAGTGAAGGTATGAAAGCAATCGAGAAGTTACCACCGCTTCCACCGGGCTCAAATCCCACTCCAGTGCATGCGCCTTCATCACCGTCAGTATCAGCAGCAGGTTTGGTATCAACTACTACCATAATAGTTATTAATTGTGAACGAATCGTTTGTTAAAACTTGAATTTTTTGGGGTGGCTTTTGTAGCCGCAGCTGTTAAAGCGCAGAATGCAGCCGCGAAGATTGCGGCAGACCTTGCGGCTAGAGGACAGGCTGCCGTTGAATCTGTTGCTCAAGAGGAGAATATTATTATAAGTGCAAGTCAGCGTTATGCGATCATGCAAAAATTAGCGAGACAAGAGGTCAGTCACATGTTTTCTTTATTCTTTGTAATTTCGTCGACAATTGAGGATTTTTATTGTAATTCAATATTACAGGCATCCCCGGTTGTATTGATACGTAACGCCGTAGCACCTGCCGATGTCGACGAATCGTTGGAAGAAGAATTCAAAGATGAGTGCAGCAATTTTGGAAAAGTCGAGAGCGTTGTCATACATACAGACCCTGAAGAAGTGTTCGAAGGCGAACGTGGGTTAGTTAAGATTTTCGTGCAATTTGTGGATGGATCAGGTCAGTTTATTTTTATTCAACACCCCCCCCCCCCCCCCCCCTTTTTTTTTGGAAGGCGGTGTTTGTTTAAACAGATTCATTAACATAATATTATCGTGATGGTGATAATTATAGGTGCTGAGAAAGCTAAAGAGAAATTAGATGGCCGGTGGTTTGGCGGTCGTCGTATTAGAGCTTCGTTATTTGATTTAAAAAAATTTCAATCTGGTGACTATTCTTAATATTATAAATAGTAATACTTGCTTTGTGGACTATTTATTATATGTTAGATTTCAATTAGTTGTCTATGATAGTTTGTTGCCTATTACAGATTATTATTAGTTATTATGTTCGGAATAGTTAATTTTTTGATGTGTGTGTAATTCTAAAAATAATATGAAAAACAAGCGTCCTGAATTTATTTTTTGAGCTTTAAAAAATAAATAGCAAAATTCGGAATAAAAATCGAAAATAAAAAAATTTGATGATTTATATTATTATTAAATGATAAATGACTTTTCAATTGATAATGAGCAAAAAATTTCCCTTTATTAAAGATGCTTAAAATATTTTCTGGCAATCAATTTAACGGTTTCTTGTATTTCTGAAAAAAATAAAAATGAAAATAAAAGTCAAAATTTCAGTTTATTCCATAAAACATCCATTTATACCAAGATCAAGAAAAAACTTACATCCTCCATCTGCGGCAACTTATTCGGATCAATTGTATTCCGTAATCCAAGTAACGTTTTAGAAATAGCTTCAGACGCGCCAATCATCGGTTTCAACACAGCCACAGGCACCGCGCGTATCACAGCTTTCACGGATCCCTGTGTGCCGGTTTTCTCGTACACTTCCATAGGTACCGCGAAGATTGTATGTGCAGCAGTGCCGAGATTTTTTTGTAGACTCTTGTATGCTTCTTCGATACCTAAGAGAGGCAAATATACGTGGATAATACGATTTCAATTATATATTTCTTTATCTAATGATAATAATGAATAATAACAATAATAAAATACCTTCGTTTATATCGGCTGGTTGATTGGCATACTTGCTAATAAACTCTTTCCCATTATCGTCACTATCCTCATCACTTTCTGCCAACTCCGATAACTGCGGGCTAGGATTTAATGCGCCACTCGATTTTCTTGTATTACTACTACTACCACCGCTACCACTACCGCTGCTACTAGATTGTTGTCCTTGAGCCTCAAAAGAAAATATTTCATCCGCATGTTCTAATAAAATTTGGGTTCCTACTGCAAGTTTTGTGCCAAGATTTATCGCTTCCATTGTGGTGGCTTTTGCAAAAGATTGTGTCCCTTTTTGTAATCCTTTTTTTAATTTTGTGACATATAGGATATGTTATTTGATGTATCGTAGTAATAACGATGATGATGATAATAATAATAATAATAGTAATATAGTAGGCAAACCTCGAACTATTCGTCCGTCTTTTTTATATTGTTCAATTGGCAAAAGAATAAGATCAGCTACACCTGACCCAAGATTTACTAATGATCGAATGGGCGCGACTCCAGACACTACATTAGGAACTTGCGTGTTTTTTATATAGGGAAGCCAAGCTGCGCCCAGTTCTTCGAAAAGTCGCTTCCAGCCTTTTACCTAGAAGTCAGTTAGCAAAGACATGATATTAATATTGTAAAGCGAAAGTACACACCACAGAACCACTTGTATTTATTATAGTGATCTTTGTTACGTTAATGTAAAACTCACCCCTCGAAGTTTCACGCTGCTTAAAGTCATATCAGCCGAGTCAAAGTGGAAAAAGTTCATCAGTTCCACTAGATTGCCTTCTTTTAAGTTGGTGTAATCAATATGTTTTGGCTTATAATCGATCTTCATTATGATTGGTTGGATTTCAAAATATTCTATTAAAGCACAATTAAATTTAAGCGTTGACATTCGGCCATGTAATTTCATATCTCAATGATGAATCACTCACGTATATAAGTATCATCTTCAGATTTGGAAACAGGAATTTTCGATGATGTGGCTTGAAACGAAAAGAACCGAATGATAAAATTAAGAGCGTCTTGATCAATATGAAACCGTAATGGCAACAACCTGGTCTATAGAGAATAAAAGTTCAGCTTGATGAGGATAATAAAGATAATAATAATATTTACATAACTTCCAAATAATAAACAACAAATTCCATTTAGAAAAACATGTGTTACCTTCAACCGAAATTCTTCCGAAGGCTCTGTAGGAACCGGTCGAACACACTGTAATTCTATTCGTACCATATTAGACTTCGTCTCGCGTGGACTTGTATCGTTTTCTGCTCGCATGTGGGATAGAAATTTTCGCCAAGCTGACGTCTTTATATTATCAAGTATCTCCACATCTCTGACTGACAAAAGTAAGCGAAACGCCAATTGATCATCTTCGGGAAATATATCAAATTCTAGATTCATTTTTTCTAGTCGGATATCAAGTTTACTGGCCTTTGAACGTCCCAATTTTGGACGAGAGCGAGTACTACGTGAAGGATCAGCGGTTTTCCTACTACCGCTGTCACGTCTACTCAAATGTTCATTTTCAGCCCGTAAGCCAGAACCGACCAGACTCGAGATATCACTACGATCATCAACGGTGTAATCGATCTCGGAGGCTGCTTGGGAAGAACCTTCGTAGTCGGAATGTCGATACGTTGGCCCCATATATAAACGATCAAAGAAACTGCTGGCCTCCGAATCCAAAGGACTAATTGGTCTATTACTATTTGGATCGGACCCCGTGACTGTTTCTGCGCTATCGGCAGACTGTTGTTTGGCTTGCGATTTAGCATGTGCAATGTTTTCGGAGACTGTTGTTCTGGTTTCTTCCCAATCATATCCGTCATATAATTTCCATACAAGGTTAAAGTCTCGTATTCGAATTCGTGTTAAACTTTTTGGTAGACTGATATTGATATGATAAAACTTTGTTTTAATTCTGATAAACTTGGTTATACAATTTTTTGAAATACCTACTCTTCTTTAACTTCTTCAAGTTCACTAGCTGTCGGAATAGAAAAGTAATTTTCCACCAGATTCAGACTCAGATCCCGCATTTCTTTATCCATTAGCAATATTCCACATTCTTTATCGCCCAATTCTTCAGATTCCTCAGATCCATCGGATTCCTCGGATTCCTCAAAGTCAAGAGTCTTCGGAACTAAAGAGAAACATTTATTTTTATTGGACAATAAATTTCTAAAAAAGAGACAAATGAGCAAATATATAATGGCGAAAAGATCAAATAGAGAAAAAATACCATCATTGAATTCATCCTTATACACCATATTATTTTCATTTGGTGTTATCACTTGACTATCATCCATGGAATAATACTCATCCATAATAGTTAGATCTGATGTGCCGACACTTGCTTCTTTTGTTGTGTTTGATGTCGAGCTGGGTGGTTTAAAAGCCTCCTCATCCAAATTATCTATATATTTTTTTGTAACAAATAAATAACCATAATATTATAATCTATTGATGATTCAAACAAATCGAATTTATGCTGATAAAATCTGTTAGTTATTACCGAACACGTTGGTCGGTATTGATGTGGCTTTTGGATGTTTTTCGGGTCTACGAGCCAAGGTTTTTTGGTTAAAACAATTAAAAACTCATGTTAATCATGATTGAATGAAAATACAAGTAGCTCATTACATACTTGTTTTCAGGACTTTTATTATTGGAAGCTATATGGTTGATCAAGCTAAGTAAAGTGTGGAATGAATCTGCGCATGTTTCAATTGTCAAGGTTTCATTAGTTAGAATAATCTATAATAAAAAATCAAGAAATTTAATAAGGATCTGATTTTATAGATTGCAAAGTTCTAACATCAAAACAGAACCAAAAATCCTCACCTCAAATTTTGGAACGATTTCTCCTTTGTTAATTCTCAACGATATATCTGCGAAATTAACATTTGCAGCGTGAGCGAGGCCTACTGTCTATATAAATAGACGCATAGAAAAAAGATGATTATTTACAAAAAACGATATATTGGAGTGCAAGCCAGTAAATTGAATCGTTCCTTTCACACCTTCCAGTATTTTTTTGCGTTGACCACGCCATTTCCTAGTCGACTCGACAACAATTTCTCATTAAGAACCATTACGTCATCGACTACAAACAGATCCGTATTTTGTGAGATTAATTTGATAGTATAGAGGGGCACGTCTAGCATGAGAGTGCTTGATGCCTAAAAGGTTATTTTTATTATTAATATTATTATTTATCAGAATGATTAGGATTATCTAAGTTAATCGGACCATCAATTTTCAAATTTATGATTATAATAATACCTTTAAGTTTTCTAGTACAACCACCATTCGCGCTGGTATATCTTTAGGAATGTAGTCAATTGACGATTCGCTGATTGAAACAATCAACTTTGTGTGAGTGGGTATATCCACATATGGTATCTATATAGGCAATAAATAGTATTCTTGATGTTAGATTCTCATAGTTCCCCTATCTTCCAAGAGATTTACAATTTCCAAATTTTACCAGTTCAGGTCCTTGGAAAAGTCTGGCAAGATCTTGTGGCCATTTCGGATCCAAAGAATCAAAGCGCAGCGTGATACCATTAATTGATAGTGTGAGGTTTGTTTCTTTGATGCCGATTCCGTCGTCGAGCGAGCTAAAAATGATTATAGAAATCATTGGTCGTGTATTTTTTGTCTATATATGTGGGTGGGTGGTGTGTATGTATCAAAATGTAATTTAAGTTTACTAGTCTTAAAATTTCTTGATCAGCAGTAAAATATATAGTTAATTACTTTGATTCCTTTTGAAATGGTACGACACAAGAGTGGGGAGCTTTCTTGTGAATTCGTAATATCGAGAAATGTGAAATCATCGTTGTCCAAACAGAGATAAGTATCGTTCTATTATTAAATTATTTAATTAATAAGCTTATATTTTTGTCTAAACAAATTAACAAGTCATTTGGTTTATGAAAATAGCATAAACACACACTTTGCCTTGATGTTTTATCGCGGCGAAAAATCTGAGTTCGGACATATTTAGTTGATAAACATTCATTTTAACATCAGCGCTTTCTGATTCTTGTTCACATAGTATATCAATTTCAACTATCGAGAAAATCAAAGTCAGTAATAAATATTTTATGTCAACATAATGGCAAAACAAACAGAACACAAAAAAATCTTACCATTAGCCATAAGAACAACCAAAGATGCTAAACTCGGTTTCACTATATTAAAGTTTCCTTCACTTCCATCAATAGATCCACCTCCCATTCTTCTTCGCATCTCAGAATTGCTTCCAATATAATCATTATTTTGTCGTATATTCTCATTAAACCCATCAGAAACGAACATGTTACTTTTATACATCGAGTGAGATAAAGCATTTGTGTTATTGTTGTCGTCGTTGCTGCTGCTGCCACTAATAGTGGTGGTAGTAGCGGATTTTGTGAAATTTGGTTGCCATAGCGACAAGTCGTTCAATAGAATTTGCAATGTATCGTACAAAGATTTTGATATACGAACACGAGTAACAGGAAAATAGCAGTTCAGCACGAATAACTATTTCAAATCATATTCAAAAAATTTATATTTAAAAAAAAATTAAGCACATTGAGGTCGGATGAATCTTGTGTTTTCATGTTAGTACTTACAGAACTTTCAATTGTTCGCTGCTTAAACCTTAAAATATCTTCCTCCTCATTTTCCATTGGCCAATTGACTCGCTCTTCACCTCCTTCATAAGAAGCATAGGTTTGTGAAAAAGGGGAAGCGGGAAATCCACTTCCTTCATAAAATAATTGATTGGCCATGGTATTAGCTTGTCGAAAAGTGAGCTCGACATTAGGGATGCAATTCGGCGGTGGAAGTGTACGTTGATGCGATGTTGGATGTGAATCAAATGTCTTTATAAGCAGAAAACATTTTGCCTCTGAATCTGATACGTGTCAACAAAAAATAATTATATGAGAAATTATTTCAGTTAAGTGCTGATAATCAGAAATATGCGCACACGCTTACCTTGAGCACATTTCAAGAATACGTTTATGGACACAAATTCAATTTTCACTCGATTCTGAAGATCAGCTGTACTGAGATTACTAGGTCCCTGCAATCCGTAAATATCGGCCGAGAAATTTGAACCACGAGATAATGATTGATTCTGAAGTATCCCGCCACTACCACTGCCAGAGCCACCAGTGACAATATCAATCTGATCAATGTCCGCAACTAAAAGATCCGAACGTATTCGGTAATTATTTGCTTCCTTGTCTTCTTCTGAATCCGAGCAATTTAGATCAGGACATATTATCCAGGCGCGAATCCTTTCGCAATGAATTCGTACACGTGATTGATGAGATGAAAGCTATACAATCAGAATCCGTATAAATGTTACCATCCGCTAGATCATGTATGTAATAAACTTTAGTAGTGACTGTAATATTATATCATCACACTTTAGCGAACCTCTGTAACTCTTGGAGCATCCAAATCATCTATTATATGTTGACTCTCCGAGTGCATTTCGGTGAATATGCCACCACCACGACTTGCAGTTTCCTCATCGCGAGATGATTTCGCGGCGTTGTTGATGCTGTCCACAATACGTATATAGTTTTCAAGCCTGTCAATTAACCGTAAATCAAAATGCAGATGAAAAGGTTGCAAGTCGACATTAAGACTTGGCGTGGATGATTGTAGCGTGGCAGAATTATTATTCCCTATGTAGTCAACAGTAATTTTTTGAATTAGTTTCTTGTTAATAGAATTCTTGAAAACATAGACACATGGGATATTATCACTTTTCACCTTCATTCTCTTGGTTTTGAATGTCAATTTTTACTCGTATCATGTTAACCATCCCTCGGTTGGAATGTTTACTCCCGCCGCTTCCACCAGAGTTTGGTCTATTGGAGGAATCAAATTTTTTTTGTGATACCGGAAAACAGAGAAAACCCGCATCATCAGCGTCATATGGATTTAATAGTGTAGGGTCAAAACATAAAACTCGGTTGTAATTCCTAAACGGAGGAAGAATATCCCCTTTCACGGGGGAGGGGGAATTATCAACAAATCCTTCCAACCATTCCAAGACACTCAAATCACTGATTGATATCTCTAATGAGATTTTTGGCTTTTGTTCCGAATCTAAAATCTTCTGCTGGTGATGATAATGATGCCCTCCACCACCTATACCACTGCTAAAACTACCATTGCTACTCGAAACATTGAGACTTCGCCTACGCACATTAGTTCCAGCTTCCGGTTCACAAGTCAGTAGATGTGTTGTAAAATCTTTTACTTCAAATTTCAGATGGTCCATGTTTAATTGTTCGGGTGTTCGATTGTCAAAAAAATTTCGCCCGGGTATTGAATCATTCTTGTACAAAAGGTAAAATTCAATCAAAGAGATATTCAATGTGATATCTAAGTTTGTAGAAGGAACTGTTGATGATGTTGTAGTAGTAGGTAAAGTCGTACTTGCAAATGGAGAAGATGTGGTGGTATAAGGGTTCTGTGAAGAGTTAGGATATGAAGTAGTTTTAAATGTCTGCGGATACTTTGTGGAACTTGTAGAAGTGGTAGAATATTCGGAATACATGACGGATTGTTCACCCAATGGCAATTCATAAAAATTATTATTAACCTCAATATTTGTCTGATAGTATGGATCATTGCCAATGTTTTGTTTTGATCGAGCCCGGAAACTTGAAATAGTTTTAGTTCCTTGGAATTTTTTTTGCGTATTGTTATTGTTATTTAAATTACTAGTCGTATTGTGATGATGATGATTATGATAATGATATTGATTATTGAAAGTATTGTCTTTAATGTTGTTATTTATATTATTATTATTATTATGATGATGATGATGATGATGTTGCTGTTGAAATACAAGATCGTCCATATAGTAATCATCCTCCTGGTGATGTTTGTTGAATCTATGACTGATATTATCACTATAGCCAACACTACTAGCATCACTACGATCTTGTGAATTAAGAGGGGACCTCATACTAGCGCTACTACTTCGGCTACCGCCACCAGAAGACGTTGGTGGCATTTGCATTCTAGAAATATCCTGATGAACAGAATCAATATCTCTTTCCGTGTTCAATGTAATTTTTCTTTCGTGCCCAGCAATCTTACTCGCCGATAATGCATTCATTAGATCGACAAACAGTCCAACTTGTCCGGGCGTCAATACGGCAACTATCGATTGAATGTTGCAATTGAAATCCCACGTTTGTGTACTACTTGCTTGCTGGATAGCTTCTTGCGTGTACATATACGAAGATGACGCGTTATTCGTGTCAAACTGTAAGGGAGGCGGAGAATTTTGTTTTACTGTGACACGGCCGAAATTTTCGTGTTCGCCGCATGTGAATATCATTGCTTCATATAGTAATTTCGTATTTGATTCTGTCGAGGATGAGTCCACTTTTTCTTCTAATTTTTTTCCATCATCACCATCTCCTTCATTGTTTGCTTGAACACCATAAAATTCATCGCTGCTTTCCTGACCATCAGGTATTTCGGGCATTTCTCCGTATTCTGAAGCTTCAGATGATGATTCATTATTATTATTATTAGAACTAGATAATAAATCTGTAGGTGGGTCCGTGTATTTTTCACCTCCCGATAAATTATAAGGTAATAAAGCTTCAGCATCTGGATTATCACGCTTAATTTGTATCGTCGTTGATGACGATAATGATGATGACGGTGGCAACGATGACAAAGTTTCACCTTGTTCTCTTATCCATGCTTTTAATCCTTGAATAGTCAATGATTTAATGATGTCAAATTGCGTTGGAGGCGATTTTACACTCGATTCTGTCCCAGCTGCAGCACCATCACCATCAACCAATTCTTCAGTTTCATCACGATAAGAAATTGTCGGAATCTCGAGATCAAAAAAATAGTTTCTCAATGTTTCCGAGTCATGTGACGATAGCCCGTCATCTCTACCATCAAGTGAATAGTTAGATTTGTGTTGTAATCGAATTAACGTGTCCTTAAAAATCACTTTGACGTTAGACATAATCTTGTCAATTAATCTGGCCAATAATTCCACCCCGCCACTCTCAATGTTTTGTGTTTGCTGAGGATGTAGTGGCTGTGGTGTCAAAGTTTCGGAATTGTCCAGTAATGAATTAGTAATGTCTTGTTGTTGATATTCTGACGCACTACTATGAAATGACTGATAGATTGAATTACGAAGCTCTTCGCCCTCTTCGGACGGCATTCCACCATGACGGAGAAAATCTCCAGCAAAATGTATAGAAGATGATAGTATATGTGAATCCTCAGTCGATGACTTTGCTAATGATAATTAATGGTCAAATGAGTAAATCAAAATTTCGGAATTGACTGATATTTAGTTATTTTATTAGCTTGCATAAAACGTGTGATTTTACCATTCTTTGGCTTAACTTGTTCAGGAACGATCACAAGTTTTAAATTATGAATCTCTAACACACAATCGCTGTTCCATATATTTTTCCAAGGAATATTTGCAATAATTCCGCCTATTCGTCCATCAGTAATAATAATTGGTAAATCCGCGACGAGATCATTAAGCACCTATAAATAATATTGCCCCCCCCCAAACACGGAAGAACATTGTAAACAACGATGAATTATTGAACATACGTACAGATTAAAAAGATGAGCATCAAGATTCAACAGTTTATTATTTGTAAATATATGAATGATTTAATATACAAAAATCTATCTCCTCTCACCAAGAAAAAATTAATTATATGCGCGAAGCAAACTCTCAAAAAAAAAACCAATTTCGTAAAAAGATAAAAAATCATACCTCGGTATTAAGTTGCAATTCCTTCAAATGTATATGTCCCTTGCCAAATTCAACATCGAGGTTATCAAGATCTAACTCATCGGTTAAAAATTGACCAATCGCCTTTTTCAGTAAAAACTTGAGCAACCTTTTCTGAATGGTTTGCGGAATAATGCTCATTTTCCAGCTAAAAGGCCAGCCGCTATACATGTTATTATTATTATTATTGCTATTTTTATTTTTATTATTATTTTATGAATTTTTATTATTATAATTATTATTGAAAGCCTAAACGAGTAACTGATTTTGTTTTTGCGTGTGTACGAGGAAATAATAGGAAAGATAGTAATTTAGAATCGCGATACTTGATTCTCTTGATAATCAATATATCGATATTGTTAGTAACTATTCTTACTATTCACCACTAGCTACTGATAATGTGATGGAGACTATTTATGCCGAAAAAATGATCGGCTGCGGGAAATACAATCGTACGTGGCCACATCTTGTGATTTCTTTTTTCGTGAGAAAAGAAGATTTTATCGTAATTGACCGCTGCTGCATTGACATGCAAATCAATTACGTCATTTTCGCACAAAATGTTATAAAGGAAAATGTACATTTTGTTTTTTATTTCTTTTTGGGTTGGCTTCGCGTCGTTCATTCACAATGCGACGCTTTTGTAAGCCAAAATGTAAAATATCTCGCTTGAATTTCTTGTTTCAAAGTGAAATGCCTTGTAGAGAAGGTGTAAGTTTTTTTCTATATTACGCGTTACTTTGCGATCACTCCTTACATAATTTTTAAAGTGAACACGCGATTCTACTGTGCAATTTCTTTTGTAGAATTTAAAGCGTAGCTATTGTACACACCTACAACGCAAATTTTCTGGTTATTACGATTCTAGTCCAAAGGTATGACGACGAGCGCATATTTTTGTTTCGAGTTCGGAAATAATATACTTCCATGATTTAATAAATAAATGGGCTTAGTCTACAACTAGCATTGGCACCTCTTTTCCGAGATTTAACATTTCACAAGATAATAAGATTCTTTTCTCGAGATACCATTCTCGCTATTTTCACGCGACCAATTTCAATAATGCAATAATTCCATTCGTACTCGCTGATGTTGGTGAGGGGATAACAGAATGCGAAATAACTCAATGGTGCGTGCGATATATCCTACGATTTAACCCAATTTAAGAATTAAAAAAAAAAAAAATTCTTGTACTTAATTCTTAGGTACGTTAAACCTGGAGATCAGATAAACGAATTCGATAAGCTATGTGAAGTACAATCAGACAAAGCATCTGTTGAAATAACCTCACGTTATACTGGCACTATCGTCAAAATTCATTATAATATCGGGGAAATGGCTAGAGTTGGAATGCCAATAGTTGATATTGAAGCACCTGATGAAGTCATTGAATCATTTGCGCCAGCGACTAAAACAGTAGAAGAGAAACCATCGCCATTATCATCGGAGTCACAAAATTCTTTCAAAGGTTCTATTGAACCCCAAAGTCCTAATTTAGCAAAGATTACGCTGGCTACTCCAGCAGTTCGGAGACTCGCAAGAGAGTTTGCGATCGATATTTCTAAAATTCAAGGGACTGGTAAAGCCGGTCGCGTATCTAAAGATGATGTGCTAAATTATGTCGCGAAAGGAAATCGTAATAGTAAATATATTAAATTCACCATATTTTCCTTTAATTGTTAAATTATTAACATTAATTTATTACTTAGTTAAAGCGACACCGTTATTAACATCTGTGCCTACTACCACCGCCGCCACAGTGTCTAAAGATGAAATTGTGAAGTTGTCGAGTTTACAAAAATCGATGTTTAAAACTATGACACGATCATTGCAAATTCCCCATTTTGGTTACTCTGATGAGTATTGCATGGACAAAATTATAGAATTCAAAAACATTATAAATGAGAATTTTTTCAAAAACAATCGTGATGAACTCCCAATTAAAAAAGTATCTTTTATGCCATTCTTTATTAAAACCTTTTCAACGGCTTTATTGGATTTCCCGGTCTTAAATGCGACAATTATTGATGCGGAAGACGTAAACACTGCGAAATTGCATTACCGTAGTCAACATAATATTGGGATTGCAATGGACACACCCGGCGGTTTAATAGTTCCAAACATTAAAAACGTGCAGGAAAAATCGATTTTTGAAATTGCTCAAGAACTACATCGATTACAAGAAGCCGGAAAACAGAATGCGATTCCACCAGCTGACTTAAAAGACGGGACAATTACACTCTCCAATATTGGGATTATTGGTGGAGAGTTTCTGAATCCGGTGGTTGTGTCTTCCGAGTTGTGTCTTGCTGCTATCGGAAAAATTAATCGACTGCCACGATTTGAAATGGTAAATGATGAGAAAAGTGGACGATTAAGGGAAAAAGTTGTTGCAAAGAGTTTGGTAAAAATTAGTTTTTGCGCTGATCATCGTGTGATTGATGGTGCTACCGTGGCGAGGTTCTCCGAAACTTGGAAAAATTTAATAGAGAATCCAGTTCTCTTATCCTTTAAATTGAAATAGAAAACTTGAAAATTAATTTAATGTTTATTAATATAGAAATTTAGAATTTTGATTTTACAAATAATTAAGATTAAAATCTAATTATAAGCCTTCTCGTGTCGACGATTGATTAATTTACAAAACCAAGATGTCGATCTTACGGCCATTGCTAACGCTTTTCAGGAGCTCTGAAAGTACACATGATGCGGTTAGGAGAGTGACAGACATTACGTAATAACCTTTTGGGGGGGGGGGAAACGGGGGGTATTTGACAAATATTATGTTATTTTAATAAATCACATATTTTAAATATCTTACCTTGGTTGGGGGAGGGGAGCACTCAATAATAAAATTATATTACGCAGTAGCTGTGACTCCCTTTACAATGAAATATGGGGATTAAGGAATCAAAATAGCAACAAAATATGAAAGTCTAATCATGCTGTCCTTTCCGTAATTTTATTTAATTCACTAATCCAAGATCGTTTTGAACCCGGTCTTCTAAATTCAAATTAATGAAGTCCACGAATTTTCAAGGTTTCTTAATTACTGGATTTAAAGAATCTCTGTGGTCAAGTATTTCTAGACGCTGGTTTCGATGTATTACCCTTTATAATAATACTCTGAGTGAACTCCATAACAATTTCATACTGACAGTCAAAGCTCTATATAACAATCCCCTTATATAGCGAGATTTGGATATAACGATCTCTATTTTGAGCCGATCCACCGTTATATAGAGCTTTGACTGTGTGGACGATTTGCAACTTCCTCTGTCATAATGATCTAGCATTAGCATTATTATCTGAATTATTATTTATCTACTCAAAAAAGTGACAATTAGGAGTTGCCAAAAGAAGTAAGTCCAAAAAGATTCTTTGAAATATCGAAAAATGTCCAAATATAAATTTTCGCACGCCCCACCACGTTCCCCATTGTTCTAATCTGCATTTTTGTTCTGATCTGCATTTGCAGATCACAGATGAAAGTTCATTTTTTTACTTTTACGGGATATATATATACACAATGTCTCGTGTTCTCTCGGAGAAAACTGAAAATTTCACTAGTGACAATGATAATACTAAAGATTTTGTAACACGCGTTCTGAGTCCTCGTATTGCTATAGTGTCTTCTCAAGACGCTGATACAGCATGTCGAAAAAACAACTTTACAAATTTTTTTGAATTTATCAGACCTTTTGGTGAAAGATACGAAGGCAAAAGTTTGTTGGATTCATGATACATTCTTTTGCTTGGGATATAATTCAAAAATGTACTAATTTAATGCATTTTCTATTTGTTGTGAGATAGTAACGGTCCGTGATTCACAAGGGTTATCCAATACAATTGAAGGATTCACATTTCGTTTCGCGGATTTAGCGTGTTTGGAACAACCAGATAATCAAATTATTGCGAAATTATTGGCTGATAAAGTCAAATCAAACTGTGGTGATCCTAAACAGCAAAATGAGTTTCCACCTATCTCATCAAAAGCTGATGTCACAGAAAAGTATTTGACAGGTAATTTTCTATTTTTCTTTATCTCTTTTTTTTTAGTACGTGTTTTTCTGATCTTTTATAAACTATCTAAAATAATATCCATGTTTATATGAAAAATAGTATCTCAAGATGACATAACGCCCTGGTACGCAGAATATCGTCGACTTTTCTTTCAATTGACTGGTGTTTCTGAACACGAAACTTTTGAGCATCCTGTAGCATGTATTCTTGCAGATTTCTTTTTTGTCTTTTTCTGTTGGTATTATTAACCAAATCACCTATAAAGTATTACGTATTAATAAAAATATGATGACATTACAAGGTATAATTGTTGTGAGTTCACTAGACTCAGATCCACTCAACCAATTCGCCCAACTTTTTGATGATAATATGCCTGCTCCGATATATGAGAAGGGATTTATGGACCCTAATATATTAAAATATTATGTACTTTTGCATGATAATCATAAAGCGAGTTTGGAGCAGTGAGTAATTACTTCACACCATAAATCTATCTACTCTTTATAAGTTCATTAATTGTTATATTTCTATGTAAAAATTATTCTAGTTCTGAGGCGATTTTTGACCAAATGAAACGAAAATTCGGGCTAAACTGTTATTTACTTAAACTGAATTCTATCCCACTGCCCACCATTCCGGACAACAATGATCCGTTTTCCCAACCTCCAACTTCACCCATGAAGCCTAGCTCAAACCCAGACATATGGACCTCATCTATAAAAGAAACTAGCCTTCGATCTCTAATCATGTCCGCCAATTCTGTGAACACAGAAAAACACACCCGATCTGATTCACTTTCTTCTATTCAAACAAACACACTACCATTATCACCTACCGCATCGTCTCTTAATTCACCAACTTCATCTCTCAGTGAAGATATTTTATTTCTCGCTAAAGAAAAAGAAGCCAACGCTTTAGAGTCACAGAACATTACCGGGCTTGTGGGAAATTTGCCATCCCCTGTCGTAATCTATGGGCAATATTTGAGTGAAGAAGATTTTGCGGGAATTCAATTTTTTATTCGAGAGTTAATCGAGCAAAGTTTGATACATTGGATGGGGAGAAATATACTCTTGTGGAACGAACAAGTAAATAATCAATTTCGATGATATTACATGTTTCTAGCCCTCTGATATTAATATAAATAAATAAATATATATACATGTATTAGGTGGCTTCATCACGCCGAGGCATTACTGGCAGATTGTTTAGTGCAAGTCGTCGTTATTTCGGTACTGGTGGAAAATCAGGCCAACTTCCTTCTACCCAGCAATCATCTAATTCAACAGGTGGACCTCAAAACGCTATTGCAAATACAATGTTGGCTCGATTTTTGATTAATTGTTGCAGATCTTTTCTTTTCGAGAGAGGCATTGATTTTTTTAAATTACCTAATATAGCTATCCTCATACTTCACCGGAAGCCCAAATGAGAAAATTGGCTGATTATGCATTTATGTTACGCGATTATCGGCTCGCTCATTCTGTATATGATACCATAAAAAAAGATTTCTCTGCCGATAAAGCATGGAAGCATTACGCAGGAGCGCAAGTATGTTTTAATTGACAGCTACTCGTTATTTATTGCACATATTATCTTCTAGCCATCACTCAACTACTCTATTAAATCTTACGTGATAGGAAATGATTGGACTCTGTTTGCTAATGTCCACATCCCTAATTGGAAGTAAAACGGACGTCGATCATTATTTCGAGCAATCGGTCAATGCGTTCTATAATCGTGTAAAATCGCCTTTTTTCGCGACGAAAGCAACCATTTTGTATTATGAAATGTTAAAGCACCGAAAAATGTATAAAGATGCCCCCATTGCGTTGGTCAGAATGAGCGGAGAGGTAATTTTTTACATATATGATGTATTATCGTTGCATTGATTAAACTAAAAAAAGAGCTTTATAGGATTCCGATCTTAGAAGTGCATTATTCCTCGAACAGGCCGCGCACGCGTTTTTACGTTATCCGAGGCCGATGGTTCGAAAATATGCGTTCCATTTGGTGATGGCTGGTCATCGTTATGGAAAATGTAATCAGGTGATAAGCGTAACTTGATAAATGAAAAATATATTCTTTCTTAAATTAATACGTTTGTAATTATTAATTTTTTGAAAGCGGGAACACGCTTATCGTTGCTATCTCTCTGCTTCTCATGTATTTGAGAATCGTTCGTGGTCATTAGTTGAGGATCATATTCATTTTGCGCTTGGACGTCAATCTTTTCATATGGGAGATCTGGATAATTCGCTGCATTTTTTCTTGAAACTATTGCGCGCGAGTCGTCAACCAGCGTCACAACAAAGTGCTTATTTAAAAGAATTTTTGTATATTTACAAGGTACTAAATCGGATATGACTCGCTAATTTTTAGCGGCCCACAATCTCCTTATACTTATCCGTACATGAAATAAATCCATAGCATTATACCAGTAAAACCGGCAAGGAACCTATATTCAATCCGCCAGATCTGCCTATTCCCGTGATTCTAGACGCAACTATTCGCGTTGTATTGTCAAAAGCACAATCAAGCGAGTACGATGAAATCTGGCAAAAAATGGAGCAAGATTTTGTTGATGAAAAGTATAAAAATGTTGACGCGTTTGGGAGAAACAGGCTGAATTCTGCCGCTTTGACAAAAGATGGTCATCAGACTGTTTGTGCTGTTGCAGGTTCTTGAAGTTTTTGTTACTATATTTTCTTTAACAATGTTTTAAAACTAATTGGAGTACTGATTGCATAATGCGATCCTTGATTCCATTACAGAATCATTTTATGTACAATTTGATATCTACAATCCGATGCAAATTCCTATAAATATCACCGAGCTTATTCTAGAATGTGATTATATTCCTTCGACCAAAGATTCCGTGAATTCAAATCCAAACGACGAAAATACGGAATCAACCGATAATGATTCTGAAGCATTCGATTTAGAGACAATACCTGAAATATCGTTAGAAGGCACAGAAAAGAAAAAGGCATGCTGCTAAATTTTAGCTATGGATAATTGGAGCTTATCGCCAACAAACTTTCTTTTTCTCATGTCATGGACTTCTCCAAACTAATAGTTATCCTTACGGGTAACTCCAAAACGGGAGGGAACGATCAAAATCGTCGGGCTTCGTTATAGTCTCAATTCGATTGTTCGTAGCCGTAAAACATTTGCAAAGCGAGGAAAGCGACTAAATAACACCAAGCAACAAATGATGGACGTAGTCTATGCATCTGATCGATCTCTAGAGGTTTTGGTCACCTCGCCGATGCCGTTGCTTGAAGTTGCTTTCCATTCTTTCCCGGAAACCCTGTTGTCTGGCGAAGTTATGCGAGTGGTGTTGGAGATTAACAATAAAGGACAAACGGGGTTGACGGATTTACAAGTTAAAATGAGTCATCCCAGTTTTTTCTGTGTTGGTGATGCTGAAATGCTGGAGAAAACTGTATATGGTAAATATAAATTGTGAGCCGGAGACTTCACTTCCATACTTTTTTGTCATGATAGTGATGAGTTTATTGACTATAGGAGATAACCCGGAATTTCCAAGTTCAGAATCGTCCTTAGAAAAGCTGAAAATCTCAAATCATCTATTTAATTCGAGTATCAATAGTATACCATTGCCTATCGCAGAGGATAACGCTCATGATTCTAAATCTCTGCTAGCTCCGGGAAAGATGACATTGATTCCGATATGGATTCGGGGAGATAGGATAGGAAAACACATGTTTCGCTTTTTCTTTACCTACCAATCTGAGGTATTTATTCTTATTCTTCGGTCGTTATTGCCATCATACTCTCTAAAATATCGACCTTCCTAATTAGGATCCCAATGCTGCCATGAAATATCGTAGTCTGAGATATTTCGTCACAACTCATGTATCGCCTTCTCTAAAGATCAACGCGTTTACGCGTCCGAGTACTCGTGGGTTGAATGAATTTATATTGGGTATCGAGGTATTATTTATTTTATTAAGTGTAACCCGGTTTTTTTTATTTATAATTAATGTTTGTTATATTGTTTTTTTGTGAAAGACCGAGAATCTGCAAACTACAGCAGATTTCCAGCTATTACAGCTTTCTTCGTCAAGTCCTTCTTGGTCCATATCGCCGATTAACATTATAACGGGGTAATTTGAATTTTGATTTCTTTATAATTACTTGAATAAAATGATGAGATTACTTATTATACATGATGTTTATTTCTGTATAGTGACGATCAAAATTCTAAAATTTTAATAGCACCTCGTCAGACTACATTTACCTACTATCGAATAAGCAAAAGTCAAATAGAATCTCCAGCTGATCAATTAACACCTGAACAATATGCTTTGAATGCTCTTGAGCGTATATTAAGCAGCAAGGATGAGTCGAAGACCCCCGAGCCGCCCTCAATGGAGCTTATCGTCACAAATTTACCTTTTGTAAGAATTGAATTGATTATGTTATCCGTTTATTTAGATGTAGAAATAAATACCCATTTTAAATTATTGTAGACAAGCCGAGTAATAAAAAGTTCAGCTAAACCACTCGAAAGATTTTTCCTAAATTCTCGAGTACAATGGCGCCTCAACTCACTCAGCAACCAGTTTCCCGCGCTCACTCAAAAACAGCACGAAGAAATATTCACATTATACACCACCAACGACATTGACCTCGTTATCTACTGGAACATACCAAGCTCGCAACGTCAAGGTCATCATTATATAATTGGCATCAATCTAGGGGTGCAACAGAATCCATTTCAGGGCAAGGAAATTTTAGCATTTGCTGCTTCCGCGCCTAATCGCGCTTTATTTGAACAGACGGCAAGGGAACGAGCGATACTTGTGAATAGTTTATTGAAGAATAAACATTTTAAGGATGAGAGTCCCCTGAAGATTTTGTTGAAATGTGAAGATAAGTACACGCATAACTTCGTCTCTGAAAAGTAAGTTGAGGATGCGGAAAAATTGGGTGATTTTATAAAGCGATTGATTTTCACGCGTTAATGCTAATTGAGATCTTGCTTTTACATCAAAAAAGTCTCTGTGTTCTTCCAATTAAAATAGTTTTAAAGAATTGCTCATGGAACAAACGTGTTTGCTTCAATTTAGAATTGCTGCCATTTGATGAAAATCCTAATTTACGAAGGTAAATCAACTCTTTTATTTGAATGATTATAAATCAAATTCATTTTTATTCGCAAAAGTTAATACAAACGAAAATATAACCTCAGTACTACAGCACATAAATCATTACACACAAATATTTTCCATTGGACCGGTGAGACGTATAAATGCGGTTTGTTATCTCCAAACGATGAACTTGAATTTGAGGTAAAGGCGTGTTTCACACAACCCGGTATTTATGACATTAATCGGTGGCGATTAACCGTGAATATGAATTACGATTCCACCGTCAATACGGCAACAACTACGGGAGAGACTGGAGAAGAAGAGGGAGCAATGATATCTAATGCTGCTGCTGCCGATAGTGTTAAGGGTGGATATATACAGATGCCAAATGCACCACATCTTTTGACGTTATTGAATGCTTGATTGATTTTTTTGTCTTTATTATAACATCATTTGATTGTTTATAATGTATAGGATCTCTAATGTTAACATTATTTATTTATTTAAAGCAATTGTTCTAATAAAAAAAAAATAAATATATACCTTTTTAAAAGCTAGATCTGGCTTTCATTCCTTATATTATTTAGTCTTGCTGTGTTGTCGCCGATCCTTCATTTGAGGTTGTGGCCGATTTTCTGAAATTTTGTTGCGCTTGTAGTTTTGCAAATTCAGTTCGCAAATCATCCTTGGTTATTGGTGGATGCTATTCATCAATAATTTATCAATAATTTATCAATGAATGATTTATCGATTATCAAAGACGAAAAAACTTTATAATCTATTTACATTGGTATGTTCTGGCCAGAATTTTATCTAAAAGCAAAAAAGTCATGATTTGACTCGATTTTATCATTTATTAAACGACTTAATAGGGTTATTCAAAAGTTACTATGTACTCCTTTTACGTGTTTTTCATAAAAATCTGGATGTCCGAAATAGTACATTGTTGCAATGGGAAAGAAAACGTATAAGCCAAACTTTTTTACCGTATAAAACAGAAATTAAGTAGGGAAATTAGTAATTTGTCTTTTTTCACTTTATTCATTCCTTTTACGTTAAAGACTACCTTGAATAACTCGAGATTAGGACCTGCCATAAGAACGATGAAATTTAGGGTGTCACCAATTTATTTACATAAGATGGGGCTCGTCTAAAGCGGGGCAGATCACGTGAGTCAATAGTGATTGGTTAAAACATATGAACGATGATTGGCCAGAAAATATATACAGCGTAATTTGTTAAAAAAAATTTAATAATTTTTAATTTTTTTAATCAAATTATAAGATAATTAGATTCAAAAAGACTTTTAATATAAAGATAAAAGTTGTTATTCTCTCAATATCACCTATCTTTTCAATATTTTAGTATTTATTACCGTATTCTCCCGGAAATAAACACCACCTGAGAATAATGAATAAATAAGAGTCACGCATCTCATGTATGAAAACTGCTCAGGAATTATCACCATCTTCATTTGCTGTGTAATGCTTATTCTCGGATGAATCCTGGTAGGTATTCTAGAAATCCTATTTTTGAGTTCAAAAAACGGTGCTTATTTCCGGGAGAATACGGTATGTATTTTTTTAATTAATTTAATCATAATAAGTCTTTAATTTTTAGTTTTTTTTATTATTTTATTTTATAAATAACTTATGATATATATCTCAAATTCACTTTTTTTAAAAATTTTTTGAAATATTCTTTTATATAATTTATTACTATGCATATATTCATAAAAGATATTTAATAATTAGTTATTGAATATAAAGAAAAACTTACAAATTTTCTTAAGAATATTCTTATGTATTAATACTTTCTTAACACAAAATTAAAAATAATACTTTTAAATTCAAATTTTTTTTATAATTAATATTAATAATATCATGAATAATATCTAAAAAAAAAATTTAGGTATAAAATAAGATAAATAAATAAATAAAATAAATAAAAAAATAATATATTAATTAAATTATGTAATAAAGATATTTTTTTTAATTTAATATAAAAAAATTCTAATTATAACAAAATAGAATAATATATTTATATAAAATAAATAAATATAAAATATAATTTAATAATTTAAAATACAGATATTTTTCATTTATATGAATGCTTAGCAACTTTGTTTACAAGATAAATATCCTGAAAATCTTTGTTAATATTTTTATCTTGAGATTTTATAAAGAGAAAAATCATTATACTCTTCTCCTTTTCAATAGCCTCTCTTCATCAACATCATTCTTTTCCTTTATAATTGGCTCTAATCTTTTTCTTCTATAATTTTCTTGTTCTGCAAATCTACTAGAAGTTTATTATGAATGAATTTAATAAATAATGTAATTTGATAATATTTTTTGATTTCATTCAATATTATAAATAATTCAGTCTTAGCTCTCAAAACTTATTATAAGCTATATCTTGGATAAAACCTATCTTCATATTAAATTTAGAATAATTTGCTTGTTAATTTAAAATTTTAATCTTGCAAATTAATAGTATAGTTCATTGTAAAAATTTTAATATATCAGATAATTGAGATCTATATTTTTAATTTATTTATCATACATAATTCATATATTTACTAGAATAATATATTTGAAGATATATATATACATATAATATATATATACATATTGTTACCTTTTTGGTGCAAATTCTGAAATAAGAGTGAGTATTAAATCTAATATTACAAAAGCACATGATAAAAGTGACCACATGCTTAAAGCAATATTTGAGAGAGTCTTTAAAAGATTTATTAACAAGAATATATTTACAATTATTTCAAAGTTAATCTAAAAATAGATAATGATAGTATTCTTATTGTGACTAGCTAGAATGTAGTTCAATTCCAAAATGTAATTTCAAGACAAATGTAATATTCAGTTTTATTAACAAGATGAATTAATAAATCTTAATCAAGATCTATTCTACAAGAGAGATTCCTTAGAATTCTCTTAAAAC